TACTGGTTAAAAGGATGCTCAAGGGACTTAGTGAGGACCTTAACAGCATACAAAAGATCCAGTCAGAAATGAAGGATATGCTAATTGAAATAAAGAACAATTTACAGGGAAACAGTAGAGTAGATGAAGCTGAGAATCAAACCAATGATTTGGAACATAAGGAAGCAAAAAACCACCAATCAGAACAAGAAGAAAAAAGAATCCAAAAAAACGAGGATAGCATAAGCAGCCTCTGGGAAAGCTTCAAGAGGTTCAACAATAGCATCATAGGGGTGCCAGAAGGAGAAGAAAAAGAGCAAGAAATTGGAAATCTATTTGAAAATATAATGAAAGAGAACTTCCCTGATTTGGTGAAGTAAATGGGCATGCAAGCCCAGGAAACACAGAGTCCCAAACAAGATGAATGCAAAGAGGCCCACTCCAAGACACATCATAATTAAAATGCCAAATGTTAGAGTAAAGAGAGAACCTTAAAAGCAGCAAAAGAAGTTGGTTACCTACAGGGGAGTTCCCATAAGGCTGTCAACTGATTTCTCAAAAGAAACTTTGTAAGCTAGAAGGGACTGGCAAGAAATATACTAAGACATGAAAAGCCGGGATCTATAGCCAAGACTGCTCTACCCAGCAAAACTATCACTTAGAAACAAAGAACAGATAAAGAGCTTTCCAAACAAGAAAAAACTAAAGGAGTTCATCATCATCAAAGGATTATTATATGAGATGTTAAAGGGATCTATTTAAGAAAAAGATCAAAACTATGAACAATAAAATGACAAAAAAATACGTAAAATACATACTTATCAACAATTGAATCTAAAAAAACAAAGAAAACCAGAAGAACATAGACAGAATCATGAATACAGAGAGCATTTAGATGGTTGCCAGATGAGAGGGGGTGTAGAGGAATGGGTGAAGAGGTGAGGCGGTTAAGATGTACAAGTAGGTAGAGAATAGCCATGGGGATGAGAAGTACAGTATAGGAAATGGAGTAGCTGAAGAACTTACATGCATGATCCATGGACATGAACAATGGTGGGGAGACTGACTGAGGCAGTGGGGGGTGCTGGGTAGGGGGTGGCAAAGGGGGAAAAACCAGAACTGTAACAGCATACTCAAGAAAATGTAATTTAAAAAATAAGAGAGAAAAAAATAAAAAGTGAATACATCTAAATTTTAAATATAAAGGTTAAATTACATATTAGCCTCTTAAAGGTATACTGTAAACTGCAAGCTGTAAGATGCTATATAAATGGAACTATTGTGTTTATTTACTTTAAATTGATTTTGACTATTTAGAGATAATCTGAATCTTGAATTTTCGTGAGGATCAAGTGTTAGTGTATTTATTAATTTATTGCTCTGTGATCAAATTATAAAATGTGGAGTGAAATCTCACTAGTTACTTTAAAAACAAATGAAGATCAGAAAAAAGTGAAATTCTATAGGGTCATTTAGCTCTGGAACTTGTGATTGTCACGAAGGCATTTCTCTCTCCCTGCAGCCAGCAGGACCCCAGTTCTAAGGAACCATGCCTGCACGGGGGACAAGAATCATGGTCTGGGGCATACTGTATCAGTCTGCTCTGGCTGCCACAGTAAAATACCATAGATAACACAGCATCAACATAAATTATTTATATTCTTACAGTTCCAGAGGAAAGAAGTCTGAAGATCAAGGTGCCAGAAAATTCCCTTTCTGGTGAGTTTTCTCTTCCTGGTTTGCAGATGGCCACCTTTCTGCTTTGTCATGCGACCTCTTCCCTTAGCATGTGTAGAGAGAGTGTGCTCTGTTGTCTCCTTCTCTTCTTACAAGGACACCAGTGCTATCAGATTAGGGCCCTACCCTTAGGACCTCATTTACCAGTAATCACCTCCCTAGAAGTAAATGCCTCTAAATGCAGTCACTTTGAGGGTTTGGGCTTTGACACACAAATTTTGTGGGACACAATTCAGTTCATAGTAGGGACTGAACTGTATGAGCAACAGGACTGTTGAACACACATAAGGCACCACTTCCAGTGAGTGAACTAGGAAAACACCTAAAGTTTCTCTTCCTTACTTTAAGTAGAGCTGAGAAGGGGGAAAAACTCTCCCCTGGGGATGCCTATTATAGCACAACACTCACATATGTTTAAGGATGAAATTCACACTATCTGTGAGTTGTGTGTGAGCGTGCATGTGCTGAAGAACAGGGAAGGGAGAGGAAGGAAACCCAAGGTAAAAATTGACTTTGAAGTGGTCCAGGGTTGGCAGTGCCACAAAAAACAAACCAGTAGTGCTAGAAGAAGAAATCTCTGTAGAAACATATTTTAAACAAAAAATCCCCCCAAAATAAAGTAATATGAAATTCATAATCAAAATTACTGATCACATTAGAAAATACATCACCATACATGTTTCCTAAAAAACAACAAACAATAAACTGTAGAGAATCAGAGCTATAAAAAAAAAAAGTACATTTACTGTTTTTAAAGAGAAAAGAGGGAATAATAGGACTATCCCAAGTGACCAGGAAAGTTTGAGAAAGAACCAAAGAACACTTGTGGAAATGAATAAAATGTAACCATAATTAAAAATTTGATAGGTTAAATAGGTTACAGACAGTGAGAAGATCGAGTTAGTGAACTGAACAACAGATTTAAAAAATAACCCAGAATTCAACACATAAAGAGACAGTAAATATGACTCAGAGATATGGATAACAGAGTAAGGAAGTGAAACATAAGTCTAATTTTAACTCCCTGAAGGACAGAATAACAAAATAGATAGAATGGGGAAAGTACAATATTCAGAGATAAAAGTTGAGAATTTTTATAATGTATGAAAGACACTAATTCTCACATTCAAAAAGCTCAATAAATCTGTACAGGATAATAAAAAGAAATGCATAGGTGGACACACTGTAGTATAATGACATCTGACTGTAGACCACCAAAAATAAAGACCTTAAACATAATGAAAGAAGAGACAGATAAGCTGCAAAGGAGTGGCTTATCTGATCACATTGACAGCTGTCATTTCAGAAGAAACAATGGCAGCAAGAAGACAGTGGAATAATATTAAATGCTAGAAAAAAATAACTGTCAATCCACCCAGCTAACTTTCAAGGATAATAAAATGGTAAACTTACAGGTAAATGTAAACAAGTATTGACTGCCTAATTATTTTTGGAGTTAAACTGAGATAAAACCAATTCTAGACACTAATTTATAAATTGAGGGGGAAAACAATCAGACTTTGTTTAAAAGTCTCTTATGTTTACAAAGAGAGTAAAGATTTTATGCTAACTATGCAAATTAAATTTCTTGGTAAGCACAAAAACATAAAAACTATTTTTTTTTTACCTTCGAAACTAGAAAGAGAAAAGTGAGTGGAAAAACAGAACAACTGATCTGAAAGAAGGCTTAAAAAAACCCTCAAAAACCACAAGGGCAGTAAGGAAACAGAAAAAGTGAAACATAAATCACAGTAAAATGGGATAAATAAATCTTAATATATTAGTAAGTTCAATAAATACAGATTGATCAAACTCTCTCAGTAAAAGATAATCACATGGAAAGAAAAAATACAGTTTTTAAGAGGCACATCTAAAACATAATAGAAAGGTCCAACAGAAGAACAAAGAATATATATCATATAAATACTAACCAGCTGGTATGGCCTACATATATTTTTAAGCAGAGACTTTAAAGCAATGCAAAATGAAATAAAAACATTATTAGAAATAGAGGTCATGACTATAAGATGCAACTCTAAACCTGGAAGATAATTCTAAACTTGTATGTACCTAATAATAAAGCTTTAAAAATATACAAAACAAAAACTGACAGAATTACAGGGAGAAATTAAAAAATCAAAAAATTTAACATATCTTAGAATATGAGTTATCAAGTAGAAGGAAAAACAACAGTAAAATGGAGACAATTTGAACAACATAATTAACAATTCTGGTCTAATAGACTCTCAAGACCTGGAAAATATGCAGACTTTTAAGCACTAATGAAAAATTTATAAAAACTGACCATAATTTAGGTAATAAAATCTCAGCAAATTTCACTATAACAACTTTATATGAACTACTTTCTGACCACAATCCAATTAAAGAAGAAATCTGTAAGAACAGAATTAAAAAACAACTACTTGTCAGGAAATGAACAAAAGCTACACACACGAGTCAAAATAGAAACATTATGAAAAATAGAAACACTTAGAACTTAAAAATAAATATTTCTATACCACTTAATATTCATCACAAAATAATTCTGTAAGCTACAGAATCCATTTTATCTCTTATCTCTGTTCAACAGCATAATCAGCAACAATGTTGTACATTACATGATTACTATACAAAAAGTTAATTTATATATATAAAATACACATCAAAGAATGATTTGGAAACTGGGAAATATAAGTAAAAGTGTTCACTACTAAAATATTGAAAGGAAGGCAAATCAACTATTTCTTTCAGAAGTTACATGGAACAGCTAAAGAAAGACATATCTTAAATGTTCAAAAGTTAAAGGGTCCATTAATTCTTTCTGGTTTAAGAAGTCCCTTAGATTCTTCTATCATATATACAAACTCATATGGTAAGTTATTTATTATTCATGAGATGAACAAATACTATCAGAAATCCTTGTTGCACAAGTTAAGTAACCACAGCTAAGACTATGTTCCTGCTCACACACAGTCCTGTTTTCTTGGTTACAGCATCTGTTCAGTGGTGCATTGGCAATAAATAGCATTCCAAAAACTGCCTATGGTACAAAGGGAATTTTCACTTAAGGTTCCCCTTGCTTTTCAGTTACGGGATATTTTTGGAAGTATTTTTTTTTTTTCATCCACTGAAAGAGAATTAAGAAAATTCCAACATGCCTTAGTGTCAGCAAGAGCTCTTTTTAGTCCAGGTACCAGAGGATGATTGATGAACCTGTCAAGCCTACAGTAGCGGACAGAGAAAGTTGGCAGAAGTTCAGTGTTATTGAAAGAAATCTCAAATACTTATTTCATCTCCTCTATTAACTTTAATCACATTTTCAACATACAGCCAAGAATGAAGCTTTGACAGTGAGCCATAAATTTACACAAGCAAGCATTGTCACTTTTCTGCGCTAGCAACATTGAGATAACATGAGAGAGTTGGGTATTTTCTTTCTTGTGCCTTTCTTTATTGAAGAGCAATAAAAAACATTTGAAAGATTTATCCATACCTCAAATTAATTTGCCATAAATCTCTTGAAATATCGCACTTAATTTTGCTTCATTTATGGTAAATAAAAAATCAGCTTAGTTCTTCAATTAGACGGTTAAATGCAGATTTTTAAAAAGCATAGTGATGACAGAGTTGGTACATGTTTCATCATAATACACCTGCTTATGAGAACAGACATTAAACACTAAAAAGGATTTACATTGAACATGGGTCATTTGTCATGTGGGCAAATACTTCTGGTATATTCAGAGCCAGAATCTTAGTATGGTTCCAGAGGGACTCCTTGGCAGATTTTGCTGATTACTCATTAAGCAGTTGAAACATGTATAGATGTTACTTGTCTTATAAAGCTCACGCACTGCAAAACAGACACAAAAATGAGGTAAATATTATGGCAAGATTATGGTTCTTGGAAAGGCTACAAATCAACTATATTTTTGGTAATCTTTTCCTTCTAGGCATGTTTTAAAAGCTGAAAACATTAATTGCTGGAAGGCCACAAAACTTAATAAGTTTGTCTTGTCATGAGGGAAACACATGGCATTATGCTGCCCTATACAATCTGTAACCTTTCAGTCTGTTCAAAGACCAACATGGTCACCTTTGCCATAGCAGAAGCTGTTTTCCTCTCACTTCTCGTAAGGGTGATCTCTGTTCCAAAGACAGTTGTTTTTGTCTACATTACTCTTGGAATACAACTTTACACATTCTTCCAATTGTCAAGGAAGCTAAAACGGGCAACTATTATATCTATTTTATAAGCCACAACAATAAACTAACATTAACCCTGTAAGAATGAATTAAAGTATTTTTCTAAGAAGTCTATACTTACAGTTCTGAGATAATCAATAAAAGCAATTCTGATTAACAAAGAGTAAGTTTTTCTCCTACTCTTGCCCATTCAAATAATCATATATAGGCACTTAAACTGGAAAGATGTAGCACTCTTCTTCCACTAAACATTTCATTAAGACTCCAGTAGAAGTTTCTTTCTTCTGAATGAGTACCACTGAATATATTGCTAAGCTTGAAGCAAAGGCTAAATGGTTTGGTGGAAATAGTCTTTGGGGGAAGTCAATGTTTTCTTATTAGTTTGTCACTGTTGTGTTTCAAGTTCTTAAAAGGTTGAAAATTTTGCTAGGTCCTTCTCCATCTCAGCATATTGTTCTTTAAGCCTCTCCATAGCTTTTCTGTGCTCTTCATCCACTTCAGCTTGTTTGTTGTGTTGTTCTTTCATGAAATCATCCCACTGGATTACATGCCGGTTTTCACTAGCTATTAAATGGTCATTATGAATCTGAGAAAAGAAAATTTGAAAGTCATGTAACATTTTCCAGACAATTATTTTTCTATGTAGAAGAGACAAAGATAACTTTACCTCTTGATACTTGGTTACTAGAGTAATCAGCTTGAGAGTCACAATGATAAAACTGCATTATAGTTTAAATGTCCAGTAAGAACCTGACATATTAGAAACATCTAAGGCTAAGGCTTTGTTAACTACGACTGAACATGGGTATTCACATTTCTGAAATTTCAAAAATGTCTTGTATCGTTAAATGACAAAAATAAAAAATAATTCAAGTAAATTTTCATGCTATTTCTCCTCAAATTCCATTTAACTGCATATAACTTTTAAATCAAGTTTAAAGTAATATGCCCAAAGAATGATTATTATAGGAAATTAAAAAGAGCCCTGGCTGGTGTGGCTCAGTGGATTGAGCACTGGCCTGCAAACCAAAGGGTCACCAGTTCAATTCCCAGTGTAGGGCACATGCCTGGGTTGCAGGCCAGGTCCCCAGCAGGGGGCATGCGAGAAGCAACCACACATTGATGTTTCTCTCCTCTTTCTCCCTCCCTTCTCTTTCTCCTCTCTAAAAATAAATGTAAAAAACTTAAAAAAAAAACAAACCCCAAACCCGCTTCCCTTAAAAAAAAAAAAGGCATAAATTTAGTATAATTTCATTATCTTTGAGTACGTAAAGCAATGAGCTAAACAGAAAAAGATAGGATGAAAAATAACTATATCTGCCTCAAATATTCTATATACATGTCTTTAGAAGTTAAGTTTTGATACAAGCAAATCCTGTTTAAACAAACTAGCAAAATGTCATAGAAGCAAACCATAAAAACCTACAAAGCACTGAAAGTCATTACTAATTCCAGTGCTCTAATGTAAACAGGACATCTGGTGTACTTACACACTGGTAATGCAGGTGCTGGATGAGAGCTACTAGGAAAAAGATAAACCTGGGTTTTCATGAAGCCCATAATGTCCTTGCTGCTCTATTTCCTCTCTTTTCTGGAATATGATGAGAATGAGGATGAAAAACTGGATAAGCCATTACACTATTAGAAATGCATATTTATTTACCTCTAAAAACTCATCATAAGATTACATTACTCTCATTTTACAGATGATGAAGGCTGAAGGACACTCAATTTACTTCTCCATGATCACTCAACTACAAAGTCTTAGGTTCAAACTTAGGTCTTTCTAACACCTATGCCTTGTCTGTCACAAAGTGCAAATCTAATTTGTCCACAGGTTTTACACAAGTAGCTAAAAATCTCTTTCACTAGGCAAAAAAAAAAAAAAAAAAAAAAAGAAAAAAAAGGGCTATTGCAAGAGTGTTTTCTGCCAATCTTATCTGAGGTTCTTCAGCACAGAGGCTTTTCAAGTGAAAAGAGGCTGACAGTGTGAAGTTTGAGTTATAGTAAAACATTCCCCTAAAATATGCTAAGTATGTCCCACAGATCACTGGCATATAAACAGGCATTACAGTAGTGACGAGGATTAAGAAGGATTTTGCAGATCCAATAAATTTGGAAGGCAGGTTAAGCAAAATTCAAAACATTACTTTTTAACTTTTTAGCCTCATGGATTGTGATCCTCCATAAGATGAATAACCTGATGAGTTCATTAAACTCTTTTCATGGAACTTTCGCAAAAACTATTATATTCTAAGCCATTAGACTAAAAAGAAACGAAAAATGCAAATAAACTTCCTCAAAATGGTATGTTCCTTTAGCTGTAAAGTAATTTTTAATAAATACAGAGAATATTAACATCCAAACTCAGGTGCTGTTTAATAGAGTACTCTTTTCTTTTTATTTGAAACACCACAATTAGCTCAGCTGATCCTGCGATTTGGACAAGGCAACAACCATGATCCCACTTCCCACCAGGGAGCACATTATCCAGTGCAGCTCAATGGAGAAAAATGAAGATTTGGGAGGCACATAGACCTTACTTCAAATCCTGGTTCACTTATTACCAGTGGTATGATCCTGAGCAAGTTAAAGTTTCTGTAACTTTAAAATGAGGAAAATAATACTTTATATTCTTAACTAATATTTATGAAAACCAAAGGTAATATATGTTGAGTTCCTAACTTGGTGTCTGTGGGTCTTAATAAAAGGTCAATATTAGTATTATACAAAACCACAAGCAAAGAATCTGGAAGGCATATCAAACTTTTTTTATCCTCTCCAATCTAAGCTTTTTGTTCTTTAATGTTAGTAATTTAATTTCAGCAATAGATCCTTGTAATAATTCAAACAACAGAAGCAACTCAAATAAAATAGCTTCCCCCTCCCATCCCATATTCAATTCAATCCCTTTTGATGATTCAACTATTTACTATTTTGCTGTAACATGTTGCCATAGTAATGTCCAAACAGATTTATACAAGTCTAAGAGAAAGTGACAGTTCCCCCTACCCACACACTTAAATACCTAATCCTTTCCAAGTATTATCTTTTTTCCTAGTATTAATAGTTTGATGGGTACCCACAGATTTTTTCCTATACAAGCATATTTCTTTAATAACAACAAAAAGAAGTCATATTACATATGACAGTCTGCAGCTTTCCTTTTTCAATAATGATATAATCAGTACTAGTAACATACCAACAGCAGGAGCGTGGGAGAGCTCTGCCCTGGGTGCAAGCAATCAGGGGGTGCACTATCTGTACAGAATTTAAATCAATGACACAAACAACGGAAAGACTGTTTTTCACTACCACCAGGCACTGGTAATTCTGAATAATGTCAGTGATAAAATACATCTAAATCAAAAATCTTTCTTTGGTCTAAGTTCTGAACAATTGCTGAGGTTATTGTTGAATTTTAATAATATATGTTACAAATTAACACCTTTCCCTGTTTAATCTTTAATAAACTTTGTATTCCACAAAGGAGATAATTTAGAGAACTCCCAGTTACATAGACAGTCCTGGACAAAGGTAAAGTCAGCTACACACGTTCATTTCAAAAGTAAGTTCCCAGTAGCTCAGAATCATTTCAGCTTTCTTTGGATGCATAGCCCCTCCAACCTCTTGGTAATTAAATATTCTTGCATTTAAACAATGATAACAGAATGACAGCTGAAATAAAATCCAAATTAGTTCAAATCTATTGTACTACGTTACCATTTTTTTGTACTTAAATTTGTATATGTTTTTATTTGTATTTAAAAGTTTTATCCTATGGAGACATTGAGAGCCTCGACAATTATTTCCAAATAAACAAAGACAGTACTGTAACTTCTAGAATTTATTATAAAAATGCAACTTTTATGAATCTTATCTAAACTTATTACTATGTTTAAAACTTTTCCAAACTATGTACCTGTTGCTTCATGTGAACTTTCCCACATTTAAAATAAAATGTATTTTCAAGCAACTATGAGTCAAAATAGATTGATAAATTTGATATACTATTTAAAATTGAATATGCAAAGATCAAATTTGATGAGGTCATTAATAAATTTGCGTAAGAAACAAAAGCAAACTATAACATTATTTTTATTACAGAAACAGATCAATATTTTTTTCCTCCTTTTAACAAAAACTATATCAATGCACCTAAAATTATTAATCTCTTACTTTTTCCTTTTGGTGTTATAGTATTTTTTAAATTTTTTAATTTTTTAATGGTATGACTATGTACGTTAAGTTAAAAAAATACTATCTGCATTTTTCTCATTATTCTTTAGCATCAGATTATTAAAAATAATTTTATCTGCAAGGGATTTAAACTGATCTATTCTAGATGTCAAACATAATAGGTACACTGCCCCTATGGATATCTCTCCAAGGTCACACAGTGAAAAAGAGGTAGAATCAAGAGTAAAAATCCAGTTTTCTCCTCTTTTTTGCTATATAATGTTTAAACCAAATATTATGAGTCTCAAGGATAGGCATTGTTTTTTAAATGGCAAACACTAGTATTTCACATTCCAATTTCAAAAGTATTTAAGAGCTTTAAAAAAAATACACAATACGGCCCTGGCTGGTGTGGCTCAGTGAATTGAGCGCCAGCCTGTAAACTAAAGAGTCGCCAGTTCATTTCCCAGTCAGGGCACACGCCTGGGTTGTGGGGCAGGTCCCCAGTAGGAGGCGAGTGAGAGGCAACCACACATTGATGTTTCTCTCCCTCTTTCTCCCTCCTTTCCCCCCTTTCTAAGAAATAAGATAAAATCTTTAAACACACACACACACACACACACACACAATATGCATGACTTAGGGATTTATACGTGGGACTTTAAAAAAAAGTGCAAATAACGTTGGTCTAGTTTTTGTTTCTTCTAGCAAACAATTATATAAAAAGCATATGATATTAAAAATCAAGTCACACAAGGACCAGATGACTTTATTGGTGAATTCTACAAAACATTTAGACAATTAACACTAATCTCTTTCAAGCTATTCCAAAAAAAATCAAAGAGGATAGAAAACTCGTTCCATGAGGCCAGCACTGTGCTAATACCAAATGATACAAAAATCCTCAACAAAATACTAGTGAACTGAATTCAACAGTATACTAAAAGGATCAAACACCATAATTAAGTGTGATCTGTTCCTGGAATGCAAGGATGGTTCAACACATGAGAATCAATCGCCAAAATACACCACATCAATGGAATGTAGGAAAAAAAACACATAATCATTTCAACTGATGTCGAAAACATACTGGACAAAGTTCAACACCCTGCATGATAAAAACAACCCACAAACTACTTATGATACAAAAATATCTCAACATAATAAAGGCAATAGGTGAAAAACTCACAGCTAATACCATATCTGATGGTGAAAAACTGATTGTTTTCCCTCCAATATTAGGAACAAAATGAGGAATCTGCTTTTATATTCAACATAGTATTGGAAGTCCTAGACAGGGCTTTCAGGCAAGAAAATAAAAGGCACCCGAAATGGAAAGAAAGAAGTAAAATTATCTGTATTTACAGACAATATGGTCTACATGTCAAAAACCATTAAGAATCCACCAAAAACTGCTAGAAAAAAATAAACAAATTGAGCAGATTTGCAGGATACAAAATCAACACTCAAAATCAGTTGCATTTTTCTATACACTAACAAAGAACAATCCAAAAAGGAAATTAAGAAAATAACTCCATTTACAACAGCATTGAAAAATAAAATACTTAGGAATAAATTTAATTAAGAAGGCCAAAGACTTGTACACTAAAAACTATAAAACTTTGTTGAAAGAAATTAACAATATAAATCAATGGGAGACAGCTCATGTTCACGGACTGAAAGATTTAATTTTGTTAAGATGTCAATACTATCCAAAGTGATCTACAGCTTTGATGAAATCCTTATTAAAATCCCAATGATGTTTTTTGCAAAAAGAGAATCCATCCTAAAATATATATAAAACTTCAAGTGACACCAAATAGTCAAAACAAAAACAGTCTTGAAAAAGAACAAAGTTGGATGTCTCATACTGTATTCATGTGTTCATGATGGTTTTATATGGGGGGCCTTGCTGATCCTGGAGAGACTGTCCTTCCCAGAGCTATCCTATTCCTAGATATAGTAAACAACTCCCCTGTGAGCATACATACCTTCTATGTGCAAACTAACCAATCCAAAGACCACACCTTAACTACCTTCTTTATTGGGCTTGCACATTCTGGGCCACTATCTACCTGCCCTAATCACCCAGGGCCAGGTACCAGACAACTACAGGCAGCCCCTATGCCCCAGAAATTGATGGAACTATTCAAACTAGACAATCCTAAACCTGATTGTCCTGCTTTACATGTTACTTCCTGTGGAAACCACAATAAAAGCCCTTGCCCATGTTTTCCTCTCTTTCACTCCACTTGACAAAACTACTGCTTTCCTGCATGGGTGCAAAAGATCCATGTTTTCTTTAATACTACCTCTAGTTTGGTTGAATATGGCTTCAAAAGTTGATGTTTGTGTATGGAACCTAAGTTTAAACTATTCACACATAGTAAAAAGCTCATCTCCCTTGATGGCATATTTTTAAGAGTTAGTGAATTTTATGAGCTAATTGTATTTTCACTGCACTACTCTTATTGCTAGTACCCAAAATGCAACTTTGTGTTAGTGGGTTGTTTTCAAAACATATGTCAAATAACTAGGGAATGTGCATTTATTGTTCTTCTGAATGTACTTTTAGATATCAATTGTGGGAAATGTGGTTTGGATGAATGACGTTTATCATAATTTACTTCCCACAGAATTCCACAAATTGTCTTGACATAAAAGAATTAATGATTAATGGCAAGAGTATTTTATTCCATTACTACTCCCATCTTTCTTTGTTCTGAGAGCCATTCAAATACACAAAATGTAGCCAACAGTATAACTAAGGGCAACCATTAACAAAACGCAACTAGAGGTCAATTTTGCTTTGTACATATTTCCGAGATGAGAAATTAAACTTTATGTCTTTTATATATGTGTACTTTAAAACCTCTGTCATGTCAAAGTTTCGGCAAATGGATATGACAGAAAAAAGAATCCTTAAAAGATCCTCATTTCAGATATTTTGCTAACTAAACTAACACTGAAAGAGAAATAAAGACTAAAGGTTTACTACCTTGGAGTAATATAAAGAATTTTTACTTTTCTCTCAGGTCTGAAAAATGCATTTTTTGTGTGACTTTGAGCTGGTTAATTTTATTAAATTATTTTGAGAAAAGAAAATACAGTGACTGATTATGCATGTAGGTTTCACAGACACCATACCAATACTTAGTGAAACATTTCAGCACATTCTAAAAGAGTAACTTTAAGGTGTACTCCATAAAAAGATAGTTCAGTAACATTCTATGACATAATACCTATAAGAAATATATTTAAGACTAAACTGTTCTTAGGGCTTTGTTATTTATTGAGGCCACTTTTTTTTTTTTAAACCATAGAACAGTATCTTTTAATTTAGAAAACCATAAATGGGCATGATTTTCAAGGGCTTTGCCAACTCTAATAGACCACAGCAGAGCTCTGATCCACAAAATGATTGCCTGCATTTTAAACATATGATCGAGCTGGCAGGTAAAAAGTGCCACCTTACATTTAGAGAGCGATATAAAATTTGCAAAGCCATTTCACATAAACTATATAATACATTACATCAGGTAAGTAGAATATTAATTCACCAGATTAAGTAGAACAGGTATTTATTTTGCAGATGAAGAACCTGAAGCTCAAGGAATTGTCCAAGAACGACTACTACTTAACACACCTTAAAGTTACTATTTTAGAATGTGCTGAAATGTTTCTCTAAGTACTGGTATGGAGTCTGTGAAACCTACATGCATAATCAGCCACTGTATTTTCTTTTCTCAAAATATTTTAATAAAATTTACCAGCTGAAAGTCACACAAAAAATGGAAACAGCCAGAAATAAAAGACACCAGTATTATTATTATTTTTTACCTAATCTAGTCATTTTCCTTATTTATGGTTAACACACTAAATGTGAAAAAAGTTCAAAGTGCCAAGAGGAACCATTCCAATTACAATTTAATTTTAGGTTAGTTCTGCTCAAAGATGCAAAGAGTTGCCATTTTATCAGAATCGTAACTACTTAGATGATGTAATCTTAGAAAGACCAATAACATGTGAGAGCATATTCACGTGAATCTGCTTAAATCACACAGCAACACATTAGAGGGGCAACATTTGGCACAGGACACCCTGTTTAAATTTTTATTTTGAAAGCCAAAATAATTTCATGTTACAGCCAGTAACAGCTAGTACAACCAGTGTCCCTACAAAAAAGGTCTGCTTCTCAGACATAGAAATGCTTCTGATGCCTTCAGCAACAAATTGTTTAATATAGCAATCAATGTTCTCCACAATCATCTTCAGATATATCCCTTTAGATATTCTACATCCCAGCTCCAGAGACTACTGACGTCTCATATCTTTTGTTTTTACTTACACAGTATCCCTCAACCTATATCTTTTCTCTCATCTTCTATCAATTGAATTTTAACTCACTGATCAATGTTGGGCTCAAATGCCACCATCTTCTTAATAAATTACTCCGTTTGCCAAGATCCTAAGAAGTTCTGTGACTTGACCACAGCTTTTATTTTACCCTATATTATATTAGTGCTAGTGGTTTGGAACCCCTAGACTTTTACCTCCCGAGTGTGTAAACTGCCTTAAACTTAACTAAAATCTTTCACCCTCCAGTGTCACCTAGTAGAGGACTTAAAATAATCTGTCCGACCAGGAATGACCCATTGAAGCTCCTGTGCCTGTCAGTACAGTGCTTTCTAGACCCTAAAACACTCCACCCTCACACAGATTCTCCTGCCCATGGCTTTGCCTTGCCCTTTTATCACTGTGTTCAGCAATGGCACTGCCTCCTGACCTGATCTGCTAGATACAATCCTACTTGTCTTGGGCAGCCTTTCCACCTGGCCTAAATGTCAAGTCCTTTCAGGAGGCTTGTTCATCAATTTGTTCAATGTTCAAACTTTATATCAATATTTAAAATGGAGCAAAGGGTGTAGAAATTTAAACTCTGGCAAGGTTCATTCCATTACATTTTTATACAGTGCCAAATCTGAACCATTATCGTGGATTAACCACAACACATTCCAGAGAAATGGACACAGTAACATTCATTGATGCACCCACATGCAAAAAGGTATATATTTCAGAATGACTTAGTATTTTCAACATTTCTTAATAAGTGTATCTTTATTGGCTTAAGGCAATAAATAAGTTATATAAATACTTCATGATAATTATATTACAGGAACTTAAATTCTTGCGCTATTTTTCCACATCTGAATTTAGTTAAGATATAATTCAAATAAACAAAGCACTACCCAGAAAGTGATTCACACAATCTTATGACTATTCATTAAATAACCCATCCACAGGCATGAATGCTTCCTTTTCTAGAAGAAATATACATAATATATTCAGCGCTTCAGGTGTGAAGGAAAGATTTATATTTCCAATCTGGTGGGTATTTTTTGTTCCATGTAAAAGTCCTATTCTTTCTCTTCCATAAGACAAATACTACTTTCAAGGGAAAGATGAAGACATTGAAAAGGTAAGAAAAAAAAAAGAAAGAAAAAAGGTCTGTAATCTGTATTATAAAAATATGGATGGTACAATCATGTGCCCATACTCCTTCAATACATCTTGAATTAGCCATTTTTAAAGCTTTTAAAATCACTGCATAAAAAAGCAAATTAAGAAAATTTCTCTTTATAGAAAGCAACTGCTAATAATATGATGGTAATAAAAGCCCTGGAGTTACATGCTCCAAAATCCAAATGATCTACTTTTACCTGTTTTCGTTCCTGTTCCCTCTGCTGGAGTCTACAGACTGAGCTGGTAGCTGCTTGCACTGAAATAAAACAGAGAATGGTTTTCAATCAGAGGCCCTTGTTCAAAGAAAGAATTACCTGAAAAAAAAAAAAAATCCTATTGTTTTAGATCTCCAAAAGCTATGCAAAAAAAACTGGTATTATTTTGGTTGTGGTCGGGTGGCAAGGGAAAAAAAAAGGGAAGTTCTGCCAATATATTCAGTTCATTATAATTATTTATTGAGTATTACTATGTGCCAAGGCCTGTGCTAAGTACTTTCTACATGTTACTCCTCTTAATCCCACTTTCCTCTTTAGGAGAGAATCACTGTCACATTTTACCGAATTTTGTATCTGTAAAAAAAACAGGTGTAAATAGGTGAGAATTACTCAAGGAGGTAATATGATTAATTAGTACAAAAAGCAGCATTTAAAATCAGATCTTTGACTCTAAAGACTTGACTCTTATCCTCAGTACTCTACTTCTCTTACGATTTCAATGAAGCTGGTTTTAATCCATCAGTTACTCAAACTTCTTCATTTACTGGATCCATTTTATTCATGTGGACAAATGTTTTCACTTACTTGACTGTTTAGTGTACAGGCTAAGAGTCAGACTTAGTACTGTAAAATCTAGAGCTGAGCACTCACCAGTTGTATAACTGATCCTGGGCACATCTGCTTACTTATTCTTTAATTCATTTGCTAAATATTTATTGAGGATTTGCTTTTTTGCAAAATCCTCAATAGGTGTTGTTATTTGCAATGTTGTTTTTTGCAATAACCTTAAGGTGTTGTTATTGCTTGTGCTGCTAATTCTGCAACACCTGAGTTCCCCATTTGTAAATTAAACATAACTAATAAGACTTCAGAATTGACATAAGAATTAAATGAGGTAATACAGTAGATATTATGCTTAAAAATATTTAAATATTAGTAAGAGTCACTCAGGGCAATTCTTCATACAGTAAGCAGAGTAATAGATCAGAACATAATATTCTATTTAAAATTACTACTGACAGCTGTTACCCTGATACTTCTTACCAAAGTAAATACTTTTTTATTTGTATATATAAGGCATGTGTAGAATTAATGGCATGTGTAATACTGATGTAAGCAGTCAAAAAATGTTATTGTTCTATTATTAGAACTATTATTCTATTTAATATCTCTACTGAAAGTGCTTTCTTTATTCTTTTCTTCTGATTAAAATTTTTTTTTGTATCAAAAGCCCAGTTCAAAGTTTACTGTCTTCATAAAACCCTCCCAGATTAATTCTTTCCCTATAAGAATTTGCTCTTATTTGGTATGTAATACCCTACCACTTGTCTTTCATTTGCTTAAACAGAGGTTTACCTAGCTGTTTTACAATGATGCCCTCCTAGCCCACCTCGATCTGGCCTTAGCAAGGACACAGTTCCATTAACAGGGCAGGGACTGTGATTTCTCTTTCAGAAAAATGTTAGGGACCGCCCTGTGAAAAGACAATAAAGAGGAGGACTCTGCTTTGAAAGAGTTATATTTTTATCAGTAACCACATTAGTTGTATCATTTTAGTGCTGAAAATTAGGTTCCCAATCATTGTTTGATCTAACAGGAAAGATGAAAACAAAATAAAATAGGAGTTGATTAGATCTGCCTTCTTTCTGTGACATATTAATATTACATCATCTTTCCTGAACAGTGGTTTTTATCATTTCCTGGTTGGGTTTTCTTTTTTTTTCCCCAAGCTCTGAACATAACTTTTAAAGAAAACCTATTTTGTGGTCTTTAGGTGCTTCATTATTTTCAGGTTTTTCTTAGCTTAATCTAACAAGAGTTATAAGACTATGACATTTATTTTGTCATTTTTTTATATTCTTTAAAAATTCAATTAGAACACATCTGACAAAGTCATACTTTTGTTCCCTATCAGGACTGCCTTGGTGCTTAGGCAAAATGCCCATTTTTAGAAAATTCAGATCTTTTGAAGTAATTTACTCTTTAATTCTTTAACTATACAATAAGAAAGTGTTCATTTTTTCTGAATTTAATAAAATCTGCTTTTCTAAAGTCTAAGATCACCTGACTAGAGCAAACATTCCTTTTCTTCACAATTAGAGACTCAAAGAGGAAAAGGTCCATTTATCCAAACCTTCCTAACACTTCCACAAGGACTTACTGGTCAATAGGAAGCAGTTTCTCCTGTTGTCACCGTGCTTTAGGAGACTATAACTGACTAAAAAATTTATCGAATTATTTTCTCTCAACCAAAAGATTACTCAAGGAGATTAGCATCACATATAGTAATTGTGCCATATACAATAGTTAACAATGTCCCCCACTGTCTTCACATAAAAGAAATAAATTCATCCTGTCATGGTGTGTATATGTGAACCTCAAATACAGGCATAAGAAAATAATTCTAGTTTGGTATTAGGAGCAGATGTTGGCTGAATTCTCATTCATTCATTTCAATAAACAAATAATTACTTAGTGGCTACAATGTGCCAGCCACTACTGTTCTAGGTTCCAAGGATACTGCAGAGAACTAGTCCCTGAGCTCATGAAACTTTTATTTTAGTTGGGGAGACAGCACATAGATAAATATTTAGCATGTCAGAAGGTGATGAAGAAAAACAAAGCAAGGTAGGGGAGACCAGAGAACGCCAGAGTGAGGGGAGATCAATGTTAAAAGTGGCTGGGTTAGGTCTCACTGTTGACATCTGAGCAGAAATGAACAGGAAATGAAAATGTACAGAAATCTGAGAGAAGAGTATTCCAGAGGGAGCAGCAAGTGCAAAGGTCCTGAGGTGGGAATGTGCTTGGCATATTAGAGGAAGAATAAGGGGACCAGAGTAGCTACAACAAAGTAAGGGAAAAGGAAAATGGTAGAAAATAAAAGTCACTGAGCCAGAAGGATTCAATAATAAAATACATGTGAGGGGAGGAAGAGGCAGAGTGAAAAAGAGAAGAAGAATGGAGAGAGAAAAGGAGAGATGAAGAGGGGAAATGAGAGGAGAGAGAGAGAGGGTAAGGGAGGAGAAGAAGGTGCAGAGAGTAGGAAAGAGTAAAAGAGGGAAAGAGGGAGGTAAAGATGATAAAGTGGGGGAGAGAAAGCACTCTAGAGCAAGAGAAATGGGGGGTAGGGAAGCGGAGAGAGATATAGGAGTTCAAGATTTTCAGCCTGGGCAGACAGGGAATGGTGATGCCCTTACTAAAATGGGATAAAATGAGGTAAAAGCAGAACTGAGGAAATAAAGATTTTAAGTTTGGTCCTGAATGTTATATTGAGATGCTTATTAGACATCTAAGTAGACTAGGTAGTTGGATGTAAAAGTCTAGAATTCTGGAGAGGGGTCTAGGGTGAAAACATAAATGTGGAATCAATGACTGACATAGAGATAATATTTAAAGCTGTGATTCTATATGAGATCACCAAGCAAGATAGTACAGACAGAAAAGATATCCCAGGACCAAGCCTTAGGGCACCCCAATGTTACAAGTCCGGAAAAGATGTGGGAACTAACAAAGTAGAATGAGAAGGCAGAGTCTGTGTTGTAGGAGAAAATCCAAGAGAAAGTGATGTCTCCGAAGAAAAGATATACATTTATAATTACTTTCTCAAAAAAATTGCACAGAAGCAATATCCTGAAGTTGAAAAGAACTTGAGCTTTGGAGGAGAACTAGGTTTTCATGAATGTTCATCCAATTATTATTGGAGACACTATAAATTTCAGTTTCTAGTAACTTCTGGTCAAGATGGAGGTGTAGGTAAACATGCTTTTCCTCCTTGTGTAACCACAGAAAGAATTACAACTAGACCTTAAAATAAGTAACACCCAAAACTGTCAGAAAATCACACTGTATGGAAGTCCTACAACCAAAGATTTAAAGAAGCCACTTGTCTAGATGGGTAGGAGGGGCAGAGATGTGGAGACGGGTGGAGACAGGTGGAGAGGTGCAGAGACACGGTGTGGTGTGGAAAGGCAGGGGTGGAATGGGAGGTCCTACATTCACGTGACAGTGGATAAAATCGGAAGGCATACCTTGGGAGTAAGGGATCCCAGCCCCAGGCCAGACCGCACAGCCCAGGGTTCCAGCACCAGGAAGATAAATCCTCATAACTTCTGGCTGTAAAAATCAGTGGGGGTTGGGGTTGCGGAAGAAACTGCCAGATTTTCAGGAAACTGTGCTTAAAGGGCTCACATTGACTTAAAATGCACGCAAACCCACACCCCTCTCTGGGATTCAGCATCACAACAGCTGGAAGGGCGCTAGTCAAACAGGACAAGTGCTAGGCCAACCTCCAGAAGCCAGGCAGCCGCACTGGCCCCTCTTCGAGCCCTACCTCCACACAGAGCCACAAAGCAGTCAAGTAAGCTGCCCGCCCTGGCAATTACCTAAGGCTCCACCCCACACAATTTACAGATGCCTTTTCTACAACAGGCCACACTATTAAGACAGGGAGTCAAAGCAGCTCTACTTCTTACACAGAAACAAATACAGGGAGGCCACCAAATTGAGGAGACGAAGAAATATGGCCCAAAAGAAAGAACAGAACAAAATCCCAGAAAAAGAAACAAATGAAACAAAGATAACCAACCTATCAGATGCAGTGCTCAGAACACTGGTGATCAGGATGCTCAAAGAACTCATTGAGTATGGCAACAAAATAAAAAAGACCCAGGAAGAAATGAAGGTTACACAAAGTGAAATAAAAATCTACAAGGAATCAACAGTGGAGGAGATGAAGCCAGGATTCAAATCAGCGATATGGAACATAAGAGAGAAATAAGCTTTCAACCAAAACAGCAAGAAGAAAAAAAGAATGAAAAAAAGAAAAAAAATAAAGATAGTATAAGGTGCCTCTGGGACTTCTCCAAAAGTACCAATACCCATATCATAAGATGTCAGAAGGAGTAGAGGAGGAGCAAGAAACTGAAAATTTATTTGAAAAAATTATGAAAAAAAACTTCCCCACTTTGGTGAAGGCAATAGACATATAAGTGGAGGAAGCACAGAGTGTCCCAAAGAAGGTGGACCCAAAGAGGACCACACC